TTTTTTTATCAGAATTATATCTAAGCATTTCTACACTTGTTATGTACACCTGTAAAATTGAAATTTATAACGAAGATTTTGTTGTAGAATTCCATTGAAGCACATTTTCTTCGGCTTTCTTCTTTTTGAAAAATGCGTACATCAGAAATTATTCCTTGGAGAGCGCAGTCGATTTTTATACTTAATTGTTGTTTTGAAATTTGTTTGTTACTGTTTTCTCGTCTCGCAGACAAGCAAAATTTTATTTTTATGAATTTAAACTCTGGAGAGCCACTGGAATGAAATCAATGTGCCCAATTAACATTTAAAAATCTTAGTGTAAATTTCGCCGCGTTTATTCTTAGACATTCTGTAGAAATCAGCAAACTGGGAACGAGTTCCAAAGAGTTAAGCTATTTTTGGAAACTGGCCAGTTTCGTACTGTCGTTTCGCAGGCACGAGTGGCTTGCATCTTCAGAAGGGTTTCGCTCGAAACAGTGATTCATTTGAAATTTTCCAAAATTAATTTCTATAAGCGCGTCTTGTTCGCGTAAGGGCGCAAAAAATTACTCTACATTCGAAAAATTCACCACATTGAAAGCAATTTGCTAAAAAAAGTGCGTTAACTAATTGCTATAAACTTTTCACAAAAGGCAAATTTAGTAAATTGATCTGACTGTTTTAAAGTACTTATGTACCTGGTGTCCGAATACTAAGACCCTTCGACCACTACCAAAAACTTTTAGTCGATAGTCCCCAGTCCTTTACTATGACTATGAGGGCACCCGGTAGACTTTTGGCTGTGCCCACCTTTGACTATTATAATTGAAGTAAAACCTCCCTAATGTTCTAGGTGGGGCAATCAACTCTCCTTATTGTTTTCCTGCCCTTTTTCATGTCTCACAAATGGCTTCTTCACCTGTTTGGTAAATTAAAATTGAAGATGAGTTGTATGTCGAAAATTACACGGTTTGTTTGTTTCGGCTAAGAAGCAAGATGTTTTTTGCTCTTTGTCGTAAAGTGATTTTTTCCGGAAAACTTTGCGATTTATTCGGCTCGGGAAAAGTTGATTAACAAACTTCAAACAGTTCCTAGTCTTTACCTCCCTCTCATGTTTGGTTTCACCACCTTGTCGTTTCCTGAAGTCGGATATAAAAGCTTAATAGCCCATCTACCAACTGCTGTGTTGAAAAAGTCAAGAATCGAACACGTGCCAAGCGGGTATAGTTAATTTAAAAAAGGGCATTGTACGTGGACGTGGGAGAAGTCTATGGACGCTTGGCTTATCGGAAAATGGGCCTGTTTAATAATTAGAATCAATTTCTTTGTTTTTACTTCGTTTTTTTCGCGCCAATGAGGTCTAGAAACAGTTCCAACATGTGCTTCCTATGTTAAGCACCTGTCTAAGTGCTGGATGCCGAAGAGAGGTTACAGACCTTTGTCTTGGTCTGTTTGGACATTAAGCGAGACATAAATCCCTTGGGAGTTTCATTGGACTTTTTGAGATAATGTTCTACTATGAGCTAATTGAAGAAAGTTCTTATGACTCTGCTGGTGAACTTTATAACATCAGTTCCCGCTTAAATGCATAAACAAAACAGCCTGGCAGTACTGCCTCAAGTGGGGTCTCAAGATACCTACTGGGCAAAGAAGCTTGTCTGGCTTCGCCATATGGCCATAATAGCATGTTTATTCGAAATGCAGCATTAATTAAGTTTATTGTCGCCAATTATTTCAACTTGATAGATGCCCTTAGAATGCCTTTTAATCAGTATTTATTAAGATCCCTTGTCAATATTGAAGGTGCGATTTTCACTGAAATCGATCAAAGAATGTCCTTGTTTTGAGAATCGGATCGGCCCCTTCATCAAACATACACCTCGCTATATCCGGGCTGATATTTTGCCAATAAACCCATTTGTTTGACTTGCCAGCATGATAAGCTTTGGAAACTGTTAATGTTTTTTCATCAATCAATTACAGAAGCAGTAAATATGGAAAAAATCATTTAAAAACTACATACGAAAACTATCAGCAACCTTGCGGTCGGCTTGGTTGATATTGCAAAGATAGAACCGTGTTTTATCTCTGTTATGTAATTTATTTATTAGTAGAAACAATTTGGTTAACTGAGTTTAATGCTCAAAGTGGTCTATTGGGACTGACGAAAGGCGATTTTTCATGAGCATGTGTTCACAAACTTTGAAAAATTAGCTAAATTAGGCAAAACAAGAGGTAAACTTGCTTCTATAATAAAAAAAAAACACTTGATATATTTTCTTACTTATTCAGCTTTATATTATTATGTATAAACGTTGAAGAAATTACGCACATTTCAAAATTAATTCAGCCAAAGTGTTAAACGCTTAGAAAAAAATGTATTGGCAGCGAATGATTGAAGGAGTTAGGAACAAATTTACATAATAATACTACTTGACATATTTTTTATTTTTCAAATGTTTTTAATAATTCAGAAAATTGGGAACAAATTCTTTTTGTCAGTTATTTTACTTCTCTAAAACACATGTTTTTACTATTTGAATTCCCACAAAACAGCACACCGCACACTTACCTAAAACCACAACATTAGTGAAACGAATTTCTCATACTTAATAGCAAAAAAAAAACAACAAAAGCTTGAAAGTGTTGAAAAAATAACAAATGTTATCTAAGCGTGGATAATTTACGAAAAACAGAATAAATAGTAGGAAGATTATGAAAAATTACAATTACACTGAAATTCGGCAAATATCAAGTTTATGGCATCCTTTAACTATAATTGAGTTTAAATAACAGACAATTAACCAGTACTATCGGTCAGATATAGATTACATACCTGAATTCATGTTGATTTCTATGAAACGAAAGATTCTCAACGTTATCAAGTGTATTCGGTTGATAATATTTGAAAACCGATCCTTTGATTTGCTATACAATTTTTAACCGGGAATTCTATAGGGGTTCCGTTTTTTTGCATGTACCTGACTATACATATTTATTAAAAGAAATGTCTTGGCGCAAGCCCTATTTCTGCCCTGACAATCTTCGAAGTTTCCATAAAGATCAACTTTGAAACTTTTTGATTTTTTACAAATTTATTCTTTTTTACCCCTGTTTTGCATACACTTAAGTGCATCCATCCGACCCGTATCTGCATTTTAGCACCTAATAATGGAAATATCGTGTTACCTCATAGTTCAAAAAGTCGAAGTAAAGGGTGACTTCCTTTGATGGTCGCCGTTCCCACGGAACCACGTCCATTATAAGCCCATCGAAGTTTCACGTAATTCTGTAAAATGTGGTGGTTGTTCTGCCAGCTCAGCTGTACGAATTTCTATGGGACACATTGACCGAACAATGGGGATGGAAATCCCTTGAAAGGTGTGTTTTTTTTGGGAATGGAATATCGCAAATTCAGCTTTTTATAGAAGAGATCGAAGATCTGAAAGTCACAGTTCCTCCTGCCTAATCAAAGGTATCATCGTAAAAAGAGATAAGTACCTGAGATAAGTCATTGAACCCTCATCTCGTTGGCTGTGATGGTATGTGAGGCAGTGTGTTCAAGGATAAACAAACGGAAATATCTGTTTAAAAAAATTACACATTCTGGTGCGCACTTGGCCGTTTGTTTGCCTAATCTTAGGTTTTATTTAGATATTACAGTCTCCATTTATGTATTTGCTTTCATGTGCGCTATATGATGGGTTCTTCATTCCATATTTTTCAATGTTTTAAAGCGCAAATACAAGAGGGAAATAATCCGGAGGAAATTTAAGAAGCTAGATGAGCAGGGCGGAAGTAGATGCAGGAAGTCAAATGGACGCCACATTTTTAGTTAAGTTAAAGACGAAACAGGTGAAGAAGTCCAGGAGAAATTAATTGCTGCTTTGCGCCCAAATGATTCTCACGTGTCGTTGCTTTAATTGAAGAAGTTGGTTTAATTAGACTTTACAGCCATTAATAAAGTTTTTGATAATTATGGTTGGCATTAAACAGCAAGATTAACGATATTGATAAACCAAACAGAAGAAGATTGATGTAGCATGAAATTTTGTCAAATTGTGTGATTCAACTTAACACTAGAAGAGTGAGAAAATACGGTTAATCGAGAGAGCATGCTTGTGAAGGAAGCACTAAAGTTACAGTCCAATAAATTAAATAGTGGCAAAGGAAAGAAAGGGAATGTTGTTCCAATGTAAATGAATGCCATGAAATTGATTTTGAATTGAAAGTAGTTAAGACCGCAAATAATTTGGAAGGGGGAGCTTTTAAAAATATCACCCTGGGTTGTTGAATAATGTATATTATGCAACGTTGGCTATTTGACAAATTTGCGCCTAATGTCTTGAAATATGCAAGGGATGCAAAGAGAAACCCAAAAAATCTTGAAATTTCCCTTCAAAACATCCAGTCTATTAATTTTGAATGCACACACAAAGACATATTGATGTGTAGACATCAAGAGCACACGAAATAAATGAAAACAATTTGTAAAGCCACTTCGAAGATATTTTTTGCTACCCATTGTGTGGATGAAGAGTTTTGAGGATTTAAAAATTGCTGATAACTACCAAAATCAGTTGGAACTGGTGAGTTTTTCGGGCTTGTCTTGGAAACTAATTCCTTCCTGTCGAAACCACCTCTGAAGATTTAAGCCACTCGTGCTTGCAAAACGGCAGGAAGAAATTCTTTTCCACGTTGGCCTGAAAGTTAGCAAAACTCGCCGGCTTCAAGCAACTGCGCAAATTGCATGAAAGCTTCACTCTGTTGGGATTGAAAACGATCGAACGAAAGCAAGGTAAAGTTACAATGTAGGAAACAAACCCGTGAGCAAAAACATGTTGTGGTTTAGAGCTTTGCGTTTTATTGAGTGCTGATGTTAGTGATTCAACCATTACGTTTTTGTATTTATTGGCAGCAAACGTTGTGATTTATACGTTTTTTCTTGTCCTGCAACATTTACAGTATGTTTTACTATTTGTCCAACGTAACAATAACCAATCATTTTTTGTCTATTGCAGATGTAAATTAGAAATCGACTCAGAAAATGAAAACAGTGGAAATGAAGAGTCTGATGACTCGGCAGGTGCGGAGGAAGAGTATCAGCAACACAATAAATCGAAGAAGTTCATTAACAAGGGCCGATGGAGCAAAGAAGAGGTAGAATTATTTGGCTTTGGAAATCTGGCCTAACTATTTAAATAAAATGTTTCTTTCAGGACATAAAATTGAAGCTTTACGTTGAAGAGTATAACGAAAAATGGAGCATGATTGCGGAACATTTTCCGGACAGATCGGACGTCCAGTGCCAGCAGCGCTGGACAAAGGTCGTGAATCCGGAACTTATAAAAGGACCGTGGACCAAAGAGGTAATTCAAGCGTGCATCCAACCACTCCTAGCCTGCGTCTTCATACCATTGCAAACTTATTGGCCGTTGTCGATTATTCAATCCCGGCCCATTACAAGATCATTATTTGCTCATCAAATCAGTCTTTTTAATGATAATACTGGGCTTCGATGGAATCCGATTGAAACGCACAAGAAGCGTGGCTTATGCGGCCTTGATCTGTAGTCTTTTGCCGCCCACACGCATGGGCAGGCACCAATGGTACGTCCCAAATCAAGTGTAAAGGTTCTTCACGTGTGAGGATTGCCGCATTTTTGGGATTAAAAGTGGAGACGCCACCTGTTTTGGCAGCGAATTGCACCCATTTATTAGCACAATGGTTACTGTCTGGTACTGTTTGGATTTAGTTCCCTTTTTTGCCCGGGATATTAGCCAAAAAATGCCTGTTTTTGATTGAAGATGCAGATACAGATGTTTCCTATATATTTGCTATGCAAAAGTAATTTGTGAATAATCCTTATTTCTCATGTCTGGCTTGCAAGAGTACGGTTCTTATCAGGTTTCCATTGATCTTTGACCGGTTTGTTATCACTGATGTGTTTGGAATAGAATCTAGATCATCTACCTTAGCCTTTAGCTCAAAAAGGCTAAATTTAATTAATTAATTAATTGAAAGTTCAAGATAATTTGCATGTAAAAGCTCTTGGACGCTGACCACTGTTTCGTTTCGTCCCCCTAAGTCGTCAGCTTAAATCGAGCTTTGAAGCGTGGAAATAATGCGAGGAGGTAAGACAAAGGATTGTACCTACCAAACCCATTGCGGGGATGGTATTTTGCAACCGGTTCCCACAACCTAAAAACGCCGTTCCCTTGGCTCAATTAAATGGACATCAACCAAGCATGTACAATCGAAACGTATTGAACTTATCAAACCGAATTATTATGCAATGCTGATATTATTATGCACATAATGGCAAAGCAAATTAGACTAAATAATATCGGTGTTTGTTCGACGGAAATGTCTGCCGATAGCGGTTCTTTCTAAAATGCCACTATCAAATCGAATGGCAGTTATATTAAATATTCTATACCGACAATCATAGTTGAGAATCGTTGACGACATCGTTCTTAACCGGATTGTTCAGTCGATGAATACAACATCCGCAAATATCCCTGATGTCCTTACTATGTGGACGTTAACACTGGTCTATGATTGATATGGAAATTTTTTAAAACATAAAAAATACGTTGCACTATTGAAGCACCGTACTCCATCTAGATAGATCGGTATTTATAGACTATTTACTCGATTAATTCATGCTGGTTTTTCTTCGGCATTCACACATGAGTGCCGCTTTTGCACATCAACTACTCTTCCCACAATTGTTATTCACCGGTGGCATACTGTATTCACCACTTGTCTTCCCAATTCCAGATGGTCAATTTTTTTGATCCAATTTAAATTGGGACCCGAATTTACACAAGCTTGACGATATTTTCGTGTTTCCGGTCTGATGGGGTTTTACTCATTATGTCTCGAATTCGGTGGGAATATTCCACTATCAATATACCGGGGGTTTTGCGTAAGTCCTATATTTCACAGGACGATCGCTCAGTTATTTTAAAAATAAAAAGTCCCTACAGGCCCCGCAAGGCCTAAGTTTTCGGGGTACGTTAAAAAAATTATTTCAATGTTCGTTTTTTCGTTCCGTTTTTTAAGCATTCTTTTCTTTAATTATTGTTAAATTAGTTTTATATTATTATTGTTAAGTGTTCTTTTTTTTTTCACTAAGCAATTGTTTGTCAAGATTATCGGGATACAATGTTGTAGCAACCTATCAAATAAAACAGCCATTTAGAAAAATCGTATTTTCTCGTAAATTATTACAGATAGAAGGTTTAAAGCCAGAATGAAAGTATTTCTTATTCTCAATAAATAACTTTATCTTACTCTTATCCTGAATAATTTAACGTTTAAAAAGTGAAATCGTTGAGCTTGAAAATGCTCAGTGCGCTAGTTGCAAAGACAAATATTTTGCAAACCAAACAGTATAGTAGTAATTAATACTTTCTTCAGACAATTTTCAAATCTTTGCAACGACAGAGAAATTTTCGATTGATCAACACCATAAAAATGCGAATTTTAATCGTTAAATAACTGAAAAACTATCTAATTTTCGTTCATATCTTAAATAATAAAAAGTAAGTGAAATTCCATTATAGCAAGTGATTTTTTTCTGTGCTGCGAATTCTGAACATTTTTAAAATATGCACAGAATTTTGAAACAAATGATAGCGGTTAAGGATAAACTTACTTTACGCTATTGTTGCGACATACAGGGTGGTTTTTAAACATTGAACAACAAGAACATTGCTGAAAGATGTTTGGGTTAATCGGTCAATAGCTAGCGGTAGAAAAGTGTGAGAAAAAAGAATAACACTGTTTTTTTTCTGTCGCTCTCTATTGACCGATTATCTAGTCTAATATTCTTAGCTTATATTTAAAATTAAATATATGCTTAAATAAAAATCGTGGCAAATTTTCTTTACTAGTCCCTTCCCCCATATTATGAATTTAATTACGGCTAATTGGGTTTGTTCAAAAAAATTGCCGTTTGAAAGCAGGATTTTTCCTGGTCGTTTTTTACGCAGTTGAGATCTTTTCTGTCTGCAAATAACAATATTTTACTATTCATGATCAACTTTGTTAGTGTCTCTGGTTAAAGAAAGTATTATTTTAGCGCCTTACTAATTATATTAGTTACCGGTCTCTTTCAAAGAAATAACTTGTAAATTTCAAGTAAACAGTAATAGTAAAATCGTGTTTTTTTCTGTGGCTATCTACCAATTAACCGAAAGAAATACAGGCATCTTTTAGCTACAACAAGAACAATTGTGGCGAGAAAATGTATGGTTTTATTTCTTACCGTTCCATTTTTTACATACAAACGTACATTTTTGAAACAGTATTTTGAAGCAATTTTTGCCATTTTGTAAAAGATTCTTTAGCAGTTGCAGGTTTGAAAATAGATAGAGAATGGAATCAAAGTTGAACCTGAATCTTCGAAAATTCAATAGACAAATTTTTCGTTTACTGCTCTGTGATCCTAAATCACCCCTCGAAAGGAAACATTCCTGAAACTAAAATATAACGAACGAACCCAACTTCTTCAGTCCAACAGTGTATTATTTACACAGTCTATCAATTCATTTCTCTTACAACTGAGCTAACATTTAAGACTTTCTAGTTTTATTTGCTTAATCCCAACGCTTCTGAACGATTTAATTACGGAAAACCAATAAACGCTTCCTCTAGTTGTAGTTCAATAAACAAAGTCAAATATGCTGGCAGGCCCGACAAGCGCGATTAAATAATAAAACATTTCTGCATTATTTATTAGATAGCATTTACCTTCGCGAGTTAATCCTGTTTGATTAGCAAGCAATAATTTGCATTCTCAGAAGACCGTCTCATAAATGGCCTTAGAACGAAATGGCGGGAAATCGTCGGGCAAGCTAATCATTACACCGGAATGGTCGTAAATTTGATTTTCATCATTTCGCATTGTTATTAACCGACAATGCCAAGGCCAGGGTCAATGTTTGTTATGTCCATATTTAAGTCTGTTATGCGACAAGTTGTGAATGAAGATTTTCTTTGGTTGTTTTAGGAAGATGAGAAAGTCGTTGAGCTGGTGAACAAATACGGGGCGAAAAAATGGACGCTGATCGCTCGACATCTCAAAGGCAGAATAGGGAAACAGTGCCGGGAGCGCTGGCACAATCACTTGAATCCGAGAATCAAAAAATCCGCCTGGACCGATGAGGAGGACGAAATCATCTATCAAGCGCATCAAATGCTCGGCAATCAGTGGGCCCGAATTGCCAAATTATTGCCAGGTTTGTTCTATTGATTGAATAACAATCCTGTTTCCAGTTGCCTTCTGCCGCAAAAATAACCGATTCAAATCCTGTGGTTTTTTTTTCGTGCAGGAAGGACCGATAATGCCATTAAAAACCACTGGAATTCGACGATGCGTCGACGCTACGAAAACGTGGAGGGCGATTCAAAGAAGGGCCGTCCCAAAAAGGGCCAGCGACAATTAGAGATTTGCAAAGTTGGCAATTTACTACTCCCTGCACATGTCCGGTCAACAGAGTCGGCCAGTCACGACAGTAGACAATCGGTAAAATCCTGCAAGCCCATTCACTTAGTGAACTGTTAATAAAGCTGAAAATTCTCAGGACTGGGTGGAAGTGTGCGACCAAGGCAGCAACCAATCAAGTGCCGCATTTTCCACTGGCGGTCTGACTCCCTCTTCAGATTCCCGAACAGCAACTGGATTCGAGCGCCTCAATCCATCACCCTGTATATCGCAGCTCAGCATTGCTGAGACGCACAGCTACGCCAGAAGCTATCCTAGAGAACCGTCGCCAGTTAAACTGACGCCACTGAATGAGGACCCCATCGAAGACTACAACATCCGTTACTTTAATTCGCCGAATGTTAGTCCTCTCAAGACTGATGGCAGGCACATTATTCGATTAAGTAAGTAGAGTTTTGGTAAAGTTCGGCCTTCTGATACAAGGTGTCCGTAAACTTCATTTCATAAAAAATAGAATCAACTGTGACCCCTCTGTTTAAAAAGGAAACATGATTTTACATTCAAATCGGTACAGGTTGTTTCTACATTAGTGCCCCCTAGATAATTTTTTAAATTATAGTCAAAACTAGAAGAAAAATGGCAACAACATTTGCTAATGAAGATGAAGAAATAAATATTTATATTTTAACATTTTTACATTTTGGAGACAGTTTATACTAAGCGAATGACTTCAGTTGTGATGCGCATAGCCGTGGTCATCCTTTACAAAACAGCCCACTATTTTTTTTAGTATAAACGTGGTGAATATTATTTTAAGAAATCCGAAGGTTCTCTAAGAGGTGCAAAACAAGCACTAAATCAGTCCAAAAAATACACTCTACTCTAAAAAAGTATAAATATTTCCCGTAGAAAGTTGTTCCGGTGCAAAAGTTAAATGGTAATTCCAGAAATTAAAGAATTTCGAAGAAAAACCTACTGTCAAAGATTTATGTTTACAAGGTGTCCCATGATCAAAAGAGTACTGCGATATTCTTTGAATCAAAAGAAGACAGTCTGACCTACATTTTACTAAGACATTGCCTGGCTCCTCTGCTATTGATAGCGAAAGTTTTTCAAAAAAAAATATATTTTTTATTTTTATACAAAAATTTGTCATTTGGTGGCTGGAATCCACTGATTTTTTCCGGTTAAAGCAATCCTCTTGAGTTTTTGTCCTCTTTGTAAAATCTTGTAGCCATTCATACTTTTTTTGAGACAGTTTCAGGCATTCCAGCACTTTTTTCATTAACTAAACGAATTAAAGTTTTAGAAATATCGGGAAAACTCCCAGATGGATTTTAAATAAAATTTGCTGTGGATTTGATCCTACGGCAGGGAAAAAATGAAAAAGCTTCCTTTTTTCGTGAGATTTCTGATGAATGCAATTCGGAAGAAAACAGGTCAAAAAGACGATCGAGCTGAAGAATGTAACAATGTCGGTCGGTTAAAAATTATGAAGCGCTTGATATCTAATTAATTAGCAAGGAAACAGAAGTCATTCGAATTGTGCAAAAGCTGCCAACTTATGAGGAAACACGTTGCACAACAACATTGTAGAAAACGCATCAAAGAGCTTTCAGCATTTTTGAATTAATTGGAAGACGATTTAGGTCAAATCGACATGAATTTATTTCTAGAATTTGCTGTCTTTGATATCGGTCTATCGGACATATTTGAAAATTATTTTGGACATGTTTCTTCGAGTGTTTTTTAAATGTCAATTAAATTATGAGAAACAACCGACGGTGGAAAAATCAAAGTCGAAATATTAAATGGAAGAAACCAAGAAATTGGTTTAGCTGCAATAGAGGAACAAAAACGATCTATGTACTGCAGAAAATGGGGAACATGTTGAACATCTAATTCAATAATATCAGGATTTTAGTCTTGATTTTTTTCTTTAATTAATTTAATTTTTAGACTGATTTAATTGCAGTAGAGTCGATTTTTAATTGTTTCTAGCTCGGAACCGGTTGAACTTAGATAGAGCGAGATTTCATATGAAATCATCTGCTCATAATTTGCCGGAAAAGCTGAATCTGTAATAATTAATACACAGGGTGTTTCATTGCAAAACTGTAAGTGTGATCTGGTCTGGTAAAACCCTGTGGTTTATTTATTGCAACGAAACTCGGAAGAATTCCGACAAACTGGTTTAAAAAAACTTTCAAAATATTAAAACTAACGGGGCGATCCATTTATCATATCACAAAATTTTTCAAAACAGCTTTTTGCAGTGACTTACCTTTCAGTTCATTGCAATAAAAAGTCAAAAAAAAACGACTCAACTTGTCGCTCAACGTCGTCAAGCTCCAATAAAACGAAATAATCCATTTTTTTCCAGTAAGTGACAATCACAATTACCAGGGATCCTCAGAAGCTGCTGTTTCGCATCTGCCGTCGATGCCAGTGCGAACAGCCACTCCCCCCATCCTGAGAAGAGGCGCCCGCTCGAGAAGGAGACGCGATAGCGAAGAACCAAGACAGGAAAACAATGCTGATGTTTACATCAGTAATCCTGGGCCTAGTCAAGAACGGTCGGACGATTTCACTGTGATCTTTGGCGGTGGTAAACCGACAATCTTCAGTCCGCTGAGGGGCAACGGCATGTCTCCGATCAAGCAGTTGCCGTTCAGTCCTTCCCAGTTTTTGAATAGTCCAGGAGTCGCTCATATTTCTTTTGATGTTGCCCTGTCTTCCACTCCCGTTAAGAAGCCGGGATCGACTGGATCGAAGCACGATACACCAAAGCACGTAAGTGGGATGTTGATTTACTCCTTATTTTTTAGTTCTGGTTTTGCATTTGATTAGACCCATATTTTTGTCGCACTCCGTGTCTCCTAAGAGGAAATACCATTTTCACGGTATAAAATATTGCTCTGTCCTACTAAACTACATGGTATAGATATCGAAATGTGAAATTTTTGTTCTGCCCACTACAGGAACCGCAAAGAATCATGTTTCGAACTTTTCTGGAAACATGATCCTTTAAAAAATGAGCAGACCTCATTGGCTCCCTTTTTCGCCATTTCTTCAGAAAATAATTTCTTCTTCAGGATAATCTATGAATATTAAATGTATAAAAGGAAATGAATGCATTGATTTGTACAGGGTATGCGTTTTGTTCACATCTAAAGTTTCAGATAAGAATATCTTTCCTGCTTTTTTAGGTCTGTAATGGCTGCTTCCTGCTTTGGAACAAATTTTTCGGACGAGTGAATCATCCTTCTTGTTATTCCTTGCATTCAGCAAAAATCATTTAGGCACCAATGACACCGGATTATTTACAGTCTTATTTTATAAAAGCAAGAATCCTATGGGCAATTAAGATGTTTTTCTTTAGGGCGACGATTTGATCTTTGAATAACTGGGCTCATCGAAATTAGTCCAGAAAGATACGCACTTTGTTCATTTCAGGAACCTACAGAATTGAGGTTTTTAAGGAGTTTTCAAGTTTTTCACTTTGCTTAACGATTTCTTAAACAAATCGAAATAATTTGCGGCATTATGGCAGTTATTATTCGCGATTTTGCACGTTTTTTTGAAAACAAAGGTCAAAAGCCACTCTGGCCAAAATACTGACTTCTTTGCCACGTTGCTTTCCTGAGCTCTTCAGAAGCGGTATTCCAGTCCTCTTAAATCCCTTGCTGATTAATCATCTTTATACTACTTTTACGGTTATATCTTCTTTTCTGTTGTTTTAACTAATAAATGTTTAAATATTCATCTCCAAATCCTTTCAGACTAAGGAATATAGTCCGTTGAATACGCCAAGAGGACCACAAGTTCGACCCGAAGCCACAGTGTCCAACTCAGAGGTGCAAACTCCCAACAAGAGACTGTTTCGTAATGGAGACACTCCGCGTACTCCTACACCGTTCAAAAAGGCACTGGCCGATTTGGAGAAGAAGTCGGGACCGATTGTTAATATGCCTCACACGCCCTCTTCACGATTCGACGACATAACGGAGATTATGAAGAAGGATCAGGATGCTTCGCAATACGAGACTGACACCAGTACCATCACATCAACAACGGTAAGCGGATTTTTCTTACCGAGTGTCCCAGGTTTAAGAACAAAGCTTTGATGCAATAGTGACAGTAAAGTAAAAGAAAACCGTATTGATTTAACAGAACCCAACAGTTTCACTGTCTAGATATATTTATAAAGAAACGCAGAAACAGGCATACTATGAGATTTTTAAACAGCAGTTGTTGCCTATAAGGTTTGTACTGAAGCCTGGAACACGATAAAGTACGCTAAAGCCGGGGCAATCACAGATCAGTTTTCTCTTTTTTTCTTCTTTATTCTGCCATATTTGGTCTTTTCGTCGTCTCCATTGTCACATTGTCGCCTTTCATATTATGTTTCTTTTCGCGTTCTGAACTATCTGACTTTTGTTGCTAAACTGTCCGAATATGGTGAGTAAGAGTAGCTTATTTATTTCAGAACGACAGTGGTTACAACACAATAAGTAAAAGAAAAGCCGGAAGTTTGGCTGATGGAAAAGAGAACGTTTTACCGAATAAGAGAGTCAGAAAAGCTTTAGCACCGTCTTGGGCTTCTACTTCTATGTCATCTTGCGTTTCTTCGGACATGTCTTTTGCTGTTGAAACCCCGGTGAGTGAAAGTAGAATAATTGCCAGCATAAAACAATTCCAAAAACATCAAAACGTTAATTTCTAAAATGATGGCACGGTATTTAAAAACTAAGGTCTACTGAGCCCCAGCTCTAGTCGAGTACTGTTGCTTCTATTCTTACAAGAATCATTTCGTTTCAGAGTAAAAGTCTAGGCGATGACACGGCCATGCTATTCACAACTCCGCCTTCGATAATGAAAGATTCATTAGGAGTGTCGGCTTTGGAATATTCAGCGCCTGGAGAATCAAAGGTACATGACTGGTTTCCTTACGCGGACTTTTTTTCTTCTTAATTAACATTTGACAATATTCAACGACAAACACACGTACCTGGACACACAATCACAAACCCTTCAACTCTCCTAACAGATCACTTTATGTTGGCGTGATTAATATGCCATTTCTCAATTCGGTTGTGGTTTTTTTTTATTATTTTAACACTAACATTTCCACATTAAAACCAAGCAAATGGTGGCCAAATATCATGCTTCATGTATGGCATTTATTTAATGCACAATCTAGTCGATGCTTAGTATTGGTAAGCAAGGAACAACCAAAGCCATTTCGAATTTTTTATTTTGTTGCACAAACAGCTCTAATATATTGTGTATCTCACAATGAAGAATCTCCTTCATTTATCTTAATCGTTTGTCTATTTCTTACAAACCAAAAAGTTGTCAAACGACGCGTACTTATTTTTTTCTACTTAAAGTTGCTGAGGCAAATGACCCCACAAAAAGTTCTTCGCATAGTCGTTTGAAGACAACCACTTTTGTTCTTCGCATAATCTTGTACGCTTTATCCAACCAGTAATTTATGTTTAATTTTTATTATTTTGTTATTTGTGTTGTTAAGATAGGGCGGTATGTGTACATAAAATATTCTAGGGTATTCCGAATGAAATGATATAGACTAAGTCGGTTTATGCTTGCTTGTACATAATATATTCTATCGAGTTTTATATGGTGCCAAAGCGAAATACTTTAATGTTGTTTTATCAGAAAAATCTTATCTATTATTTATTGAATTATTTATTATTATTGCGTTAATAATTTAAGAGCTGATTGGATCTCTAATGGTTTCATGTTCCGGTTTCTTCAATACACACAGTAGGCTTTTTATATTTAAACTTTATTCTGTTGTTTGTTTGACTTTGAAGTACATTTTTTTCCCAACAATTCGAAAAATCTCCAAAAACACTTATACATATATTGTTGATACAATAAAGAAAAACTCATTAAACATGCACAGAGTGTTTTAAATCAATTAATTACATTACAAAATACTAAGTCGTTTTGAGCTTAAAAGTATGTACATTTTGTGTTAAATACAATTTTAAAAATTGTGTCAATCTGTACGATTCGTACAGAACTTGAGGAACCTTTCGATTATGATAATGGAGAATATTATTTATTATGAAAGTGGCGAATTAACTGAAATTTATGGAACTGGAACTACCTTAGATACCCGTAACACCTACAGCTGGTTTTGTTATTTCCAAATTTAAATAAATCCTAGAATATCACTTAAAAACTGCTTTACATACGTTACCACTTATAAAAAAAGCGACCGCCAAACTTAATTATTGTTATACTACGTTTACTCCATTTGTACATATTTGCGGCACAAATTTTATAAAATAAACGTGTATTTATGTTTTAAATATTTTTGTATAATTGTTGCACTTTGTTTACTTTTAGTCTTTTTTCCCGTTATTTTCGTTTCGTGTTAGTTTTAGGTCAATGTGACTTGAACAAAGACGGTCGTTTAACGGAATTCGCTTTGTTTTTTTTTGTTCGATTAAATGTGTGAATTTTTCGAAATTTTTGTATTATAAGTATGAGAAAAATACCTTTATTTTGTGTCTTTCGCGTAAGTTGCATGTTTAATGTTACTAAAAAAGTAACATGGATGACTGAACTTTTATTACCACTAACAAAGCAGTGCATAACATTGAAAGGAATCTGAACGATTATCTCTCATTGCATGCAAATGATATATTTAGACAGCTAAGTTTAGTAGTGTTTGGATCACTAAATTTTAACGCTTCCTTTATTTAGCTTGTTTGCTCCTATTAATAACTTATTTGCAAGGCGAATGTTGTTTAACCAGGAAATTTAGTGGTTCAAGCTAGATCTTTAATCTGTATGACTTACCTTGTAAATTTGTCTTGTAATGTGTATAAAAAGGCAAAATAAAGGTATTTGAAATTAACTTTTTGTTTTTATTTGTATGCTTTGACCTTTGCTTGATTTTATTTTAGTTACTAACCGGGTTACTGCTCACGCGTTTCAGTTTACAATTACTTTTTGTTTTGGTGCAAAGAATACACACATTTAGAACAATTTTACTCGAAACTTAAAAGAAACTTCATACTGCTTCACTCATTACACTCATGTTTTTATCGCATCAAATTTCTCTTAACCAGAAAAATCCATATCAAATGTTGCAAATCCTTTGTAAACGTGTGTAAGGGCCAGTAAAATGTGCAATAATGGCTCTTTTAAAATTGATAAAAAAGCTCTAAATGTTTAAACCTCGTACATGTTTCCTTACCTTGTGTTCTATGTGGTTCTGTATTATCCTTATACCTTAGCTTGCTTCCAAGCTGGGTAGTACGTCGTGTACTCCGGGGCAGCGCTCAACTGCAGCCAAGCGGATCACTTTCGAAGAGACCATGCCGAACACTCCTAAGGTGAGACGCATTTTCTCTTTAGAATCACCTACGCCCCTCTGGTTCTCACTTGGATGAATGAATTGAAAATGGCAGACAGTTTAAAATGGAAAAAACTCCTAACAAATCCCTAGTGAAATAATCTCTCGAACCAATTTTGATGAATTGATACAACACATTTTTAGATTATTGGGAAATTAGAAATTGCTGCTTGCCATGGTGCTTTCGTTGTTTTATGTGTTTATTTCTATGTTGCGTTTGCCCAATAACTATATAGTTATTGAATTTTTGAATTTACAGAAATAATTTCTGTTTTTCCTTAGATCGATTCATTCTGGGCTGTAATAGCATGCGGTAAAACCCAGAACCAACTAGACCTCACTGAGAAGGCTCACAGGTTTCTGAAGAACAACGGCTTAAAGCCGCGCTCACTTCATTTTTAGATGGCAATTATAGTAAGAATTCCAACTTTAGGTAAGTGTAGACATGTATAACAAACTGCAATTCCCTTTTTGTAGTGTGAAACATAGGATAAAGAGAAATGTTAGTGTGTTTTATTTTTAGCTCTAATGGGGGTTTAAATTTAGTTTTAATTGAATAGTTGCAGTATTACTCAACCATAATTTACGAGTTGAGGCTTTAAATCACTGTACTATAATGCAGGCTTACTCGATTGTCGACTAAGATAATTTTATTGCTTATTTTCTTATATTTGTAGATTAATTTACGTTTTTCTAAGATTCTTTGGACATATGTATTAAAAAAAAATTAGCTCATTAAATTGTACAAATTACAATATGGAATATTTACCTTATGTTTGTTTTAAATGTTTATTTTATTTTTACATATATTTTGAACCGTTAATATTTTCAACCAAATTGTACATTTTCACTTTCATATACTAGGATAAAAATGGCAATTTTAAAAACAAAGTACCAATCTGTGAATAAATTGTTGAAAAACTGTTCTCGTGGGCCAACAAACGAATACATATTTTTTTTCGCTCTTCGAAACTAACTTTGCCTTTTGTACATGCTCAAATGAAATCAATGCTTTAACAGCATTTCAGCAACTAGTTCAGAGATTGTTACTACTTAACATGTTCAAGTAGTGATTTTTATTTTAGCTTTAAAATGTCGATTTTAGAAGTCAGGGAAATTGTTAAAAGCACCTCATAGTTACATGTAATTTGTATTATGTAATATGATTTAGAGTATTTCATAGTCTTCGATGAGTTTTATGTGAAATTGTTTAACTATGTGGTGTAGTCAATAAAATGGTTTTTAAATACACAATTATGGAAACGCTTGGCAGAAAACCCAGAACGAGTGTGCTGTACCATTAAACATTTATTTATTATTACATTATAAAATATTAATGCTGAACAAAATGTACAGTATATAAATAAAATATATATGCTTCAATACCTACTTAAAATAGCACCAGATATTTTCTGATTTATTGTACATATACTGACTGGGGAAATTACTCTACAACGTGAAAATGAGAATTTTAAGCTGAGTAAAATCATTCATTTACCAATGCGGGGGAAATATAACATCACCACATTGCGCCACATTTTAATGCTATGAATGATAAAATCATATGACGCTTCGTAAAGTATTTTCCGACAGCTAAACAGTATTGAAAATAATTTCCATATCTGTGATGTTCAATTACAAATAGCTAGATCACATTAATATTAGCCATTCAGACATTAAACCATTTAGCGGTTAACAAACACTGATACCATTTAATATAGAAAAATTACTACCAGAAAGTCTTAACTGTTTGACTGTTGATGGTTGAAGAATACGTAGTTGATATGTATCAAATTTCCCACTTTTTTCAATTATTAACTGCCAATTGTGACTGTGTTTTAAGTAGAGTTATAGTGTTTTTTATGCTGGATTGCTCAAGATGTTAAACCCAGAATAGTCATTGATATGTTTTCGCTCAATCATTCATTGTGAATTATCTTGATGAATTCGTCAAACAATTAAGACCTAATTATAAGTTGAGATTAGTGCATTGCGACAATATTATCAGGTGGTGCTGCTGATATATTTTCAACAGCAGTTCTGTAGCGATTAGCTCGCGTTTATTACAAGATTAGAATTAAAACAAAACATTGCCATCGATAAACGAAGTTACTTTGATTAGTTGACGAACATTCCTTGGCAAATTGCACTTTTATGGTGAATTCGTTTCGCCGGATACATTAAAAAGTCGCAAAACTATTACCACAAATCATGTGCTCATTTTCGGATATGAACATCATATCGTATCGAAAAATAGTATTTTAACAATTATTTTGTAATAAATTGTGCCTTTAAACGGAAAGTAATCAAAACAACCCCATTTACCGGTGAATAATGCTAAAAATCGTTACAAATTTTAGTGAATTAACCGATGATTAAGCCGAATTTCATGCAGTTCAAGTTTAAATCTCACACAAACGCAAGTTAGTAATATCCATTATCTATTCAGCGTAGTTTTGATTTGCGAATTTTGGTAACATAAGTGGCAGTGATAATCGTAGAAACCCCCATTCTACATTTGAGATGCACAATAAGATAATCGATTTTTTTGGTGAATTAAACAGGGAAATTGAGAGGCATATTTACAGAACGACATTTTTACAAGTACACATCGGGAAAGCCGGTAAAGTTAAAGCTAAATTTACACTAGAAAAATATGGTCAATATAAAAATAACCTTATCGGTCTTCTTATAATTATTCACTCTATTGTTGATCATAAGGTTTTTAATTCTGCTGATCAAGACATAGATACAACTCCCGACAATTCTTTATAGATTGTTGTGAGACAGCAGCCTATATCTTGAGCCAGAATATTGTAAAACAGGTTGTAAACAATTTTAAGGGTATCACAAATACATTTCGTTTTAAAAAGCACCACGGTTTCTGTACTGTGGTGAATCCGGGATTGTATTCCCGAATTGTAATACGAAATCAGAAATTCTGTTTTTTTTTTATATGAAAATCCCGAAGCAAAAAATGATGTATGTCAGCTATAACACAAGAACATGTTCAATTTTTGAACATACAGGATGCAGCCACTAAAGAAGCAATAAACATAACTGAAGAACCGTCGATTTTTGTAGAAACAAAAACAAAAATCCCTGATTCTCGTACCACATGAACATGAAATCTACTTCATAAGTAATCAGATTTATACCTTCTAAACAAATTTAGGCCAAAACACTTCTTATTTTACGTAAGTAAACTCTATATAAGTTTTAGGTGAAATTCAATTTACACATTGTATTGTGTAATTTTATACTATACATGAAACTGGGATTATCATTTGTCCATAACATTATAGCTGTTTCAGATTTAAGCAGACAGTGCAAAGTAAGCGATGTTGTTTCCCGAAAGCACAGCGTCGTTTGTTCAATTAAAATGTATTGAAATTATTTACAAGGAAAAATCTCTTTGTGCTTAATGTTACATTTGTCCTCGACAATACCAAAACTATTCCATTCGGGTTTTGTTGAGTTAAACCTAAACCCGTTTGGAATACCTGCAGTATTGCGTCAGGACAAAAACCTGCTAAAACTTGCACTTTAAGCCTGAAATGGTTTGGCAGGTGAATGCAAAAGTCTGTTTTGTGTATGAAATGCGTTATCTACATAATACAAACAAGATACGTTTTTGAATCAAAAACATACAACAGTTGCGACGGGCCGTCAGAAGAGATAAATTATAGAATACAGCACCTCTTTTTGTCCCTTTTCATATAGTTGGCTTTCAACGGCGGCCTTTCGGACAATTGGAACTTACGTACTACCCTTACCAGTTCATAGAACGCATTGTCCACATTCATTCGCATTTTTGCGCTACACTCAATGTATGGGATTTTGAGGTTGCGCGCTAATTGTTGCGCCTCCTCTTGCCACACCACTCTTTGCTGTTCCAAATCAACCTTCATACCAAAAAAAAAAAAAACCAAACGAATCGTTTAAAATAAATAACCAGCCAAAAGATGTGTAAAATGTAATAGATTCTATATGGTACGCTGATGCGTGGGTTATAGCAAATTTAATCAACATTTTTTGAAGATTTTCCTTATAGATAGATTTATATTTATAGATCCCCTATAGATTCTTTCCTTTTTTCCCTTATAGATTCTTGATTGTTCCTATTGGTCTATCGTTTTAAAATAATTTGCGACGTGTATGTGCTGATCTAAACGTGTTATAGATTACATACTTTGCCTTTGATGGAATGGCCTTATTTAGCAAAGTTTTTCTCGCTCTTCTTAAGTATAAGTAAATAAATGCGATATATACTCTACCAGTGAAATACTTTTCCGATCAGGTAAGTTGTTGTGAAAGCTAAATTCTTCTATTTCGAACTGTGCACGATTAAGATTGAGTCAAAAATTACTTTTTAAGCGACTTGATTTTATTCGATTTCTACTATCGGAAAACCGTGCCAAGCAGTATTTTTTACTTCTTTAACTAATCAGTGGTTTCATATCGAATCTGTTTCTATGCTTCTTAAAATATCGTTGCTTTTGGCGGAGTTTTACTCATTTGTGTATAATTATGTTTAATTCGAGTCTCTTAAGCTTTGCTAGATGCTTATTCGATACTTCACTTGGGGTTTTATCAAGTTCTTCAAAATCTTTTCTTGTACATTTTCTCTATGCAGTTAGCGCTGAATCCTTGCTAAATACAGGCATACTTCAGGCAACTTTCGCATAAGAGAACAAAGACTTGCTTAATGTCTGCCAAAGAAAGCCACCTCGTAACTATTTAGCAACACTTGGTTTGGGGATGGTAATTATCCTTTAACCCGCGTTATTCGCAACAAATCAATGAATTTCAGATTTTACTGAAAGCGCTTACCTTATTGCCCACCATTAGCATTGGAAACTCGTCCCGATCCTTAACTCGTAGTATTTGCTTGTGGAATTTGTAAATTTCATCAAAACTAGATCGCTCTGTGACTGAAAATACCAACAGAAATCCTTCACCTGATCTCATATATTGTTCACGCATAGCACTGAATTCTTCTTGACCAGCTGTATCCAAAACTGCAATAAAATAAAACCGGCTATAATGGTGCTTCTTATTAACGTGTTGTCTATAACACAAAAACAGTACAGGGATTGTATTGAGAAGCAATTACGCTCGGAATAAGTGCCAGAATCCAATCCTGAACTAATGAGTTCATAAAAGTTTTATGGCTGTTTATTCTGGAAACAAGCAGCATTTGAGTAATTATGACCTTCCTTTGAAGAAATTGTTATTGTAAATTGACTAAACTTTAAATTTGTCCGATTCGTGGGCTGCACGAGGTTTATTTTAGTTTTCACTTTAATTAGTTGGGTACTTACTGTCCAACTTTGCAGGAATATCATCTATGACGCATTGCTTGGTGTAGGAATCTTCTATTGTAGGATCATAGTCAGTTACAAAATAACTCTGAAAGTTGGATAAAAATGTAGTTATTACAACAGACCTGTGTAGGTTTACAAACAAGGTTAAAACTTATCTACCCATATAAAGATAGGATATATATTACATAAAGGAGAGTGCTGTTCTAATGGATTTCAAAAATCAGACGATCTGGATGTACATCTGGAATCATTGCAATGAAATAAGTCTCAGTACCTGAATAAATTGTAATGTTATTGCGGATTTTCCTACACCACCTCCTCCAACTATTACAAGCTTGTAGGTTATATGACTGGGGGTTCTATCATTGGACTTCGACATTTTCATTGAAATAGTTGAGGAATAGTCTACACGTTACAATTTCTAACAAAAAGATAAAAAACGTAAAAGAAAATTGCTGGAAATCACCATTCCACTATTCCCCACAACATACACAGACAAAAACGTCAAAATTCTAATTAATCAAAATTTCAAATGACAATAATGTCAGTTCAGGGAAGGAGAAAACCACAGAACATACCTCCTGGGGATATTTTGTGGAGAAAACTTGAGACTGGACACAACGTTGCCAGCAAGGAATTTTTAGTTTGTTCTCAGTTTTTTGGTAAAATGACAAAAGATATTTATGGATCTAAAGATTCAACATCTCTAATTCCAACCTTATTTTACAAAAATTGAGATTTATTTATGACTATGATTAATTATGGTCACAACTCACTTTTGTCTTTAATTTAAGATGTTTTTACGTTTTATTCTATTATTTTTGAAGAACATTTATCCTGTTAATATTTATTTTTATATGGTAATGATAATTCAACATTCAATTTGCTAAAGAAACATTAATATTAAACACCTTAAAGAAGCTTTGAATGCATGTAGAAACCCCGGTTCTCGGTCTCTGGTAACATTGATTTTTTAAATTAATTTTTATTCACAACTCACTAGAAAGCGCGTTAAATTTAGCAATGTATTTATTTATACAATTTATCTCTTCAGTTTTTTGCATTTGAAATTTTTTTATTTCAATTCTAGTCATTATTATTTGAAGAATTTCAATTAAAATATTTCAGAAAACTGTGTGCAAAATATAATGATACAGATGAAGAGCATCAAAATGGCGAAGAAGTGTGGAAATGAACTGAGAGTAATTTTATTTGAACAGTTTAGTCAGGTACTACTAATATTTTCGTACCTACAAATTTTGTTTTGCTTAATGCATTATTTTGATATAAATAAACTTTATAATATATAATACAATCATTTTAATTCTTCCTAGGTAATTTTGCATTTTTTTGTATCCAAACATTTTTGATTTTAAGTGAAACTTGTGCCAAAAACCTTCCAATTTATATATTTTTAAATGATACAACATCCGAAAAGAAAATCTGGCAGCTCTCATCAGTCTCCTAAAAATAGTTGATCATCCAAACATTGAAAACTAAAAAAATATCCACTTTTTAAACACTCAGTACAAATAATCAACATGAAGTTATTCATTGGAAAAAACCAACGGTAATAATTCAATCATGTAAATAAACGTTTTAACGGCATTAAGAAACTTCATTGCTTCTTGCAAGATAATTTTGAACTGCACGTGGCTTGATTCAGCACATATCCATACAGGTTTCCTCCCAAAAATCTGATCAAGAGCATGAAACTGTAAGTAGGAACTAAACTCAGTGAAAAATCAGTTTCTATGCACGGGTTTCCTCGCATGATACAACCCCATCATGGATTCCTGCAAAGCCCTGATGCAGGCAATGTTGGTTTTAAAGCCACCAGCCCTTTCCTGCTCGGTTTCCATTCGAATGTGATTCATGAATCCTCCTGATGCGATGTTCTCATCTGAGGGAGGTTGTGGCCCATCTAGATCGACGACTATTGGAGTGTACTGATATGTGGGACCATCATCGGTTGGAACAGGCAGAAACATCGACTGCGATTTCCTTCCAAATTCTATGCCGCTGGAGAATTTGCTAACTTTCGATGGTGGAGGTCTTTGGATTTCTTCCTTGGCCTGCTGGGCGAATGTATCCAGAATATTTTTCGCGTCCGTATTAGAGAACATCAGTTCGTCAATCAGTGCTTCTTTGCGTTTGATACGCATCTTTTTCGCCTCGCTCTCTTCCATCAAGATTTCCTGCTTCCGTGCTTCATTGATGTGTTTTTCAAATTCAAGCATTTCCTCTAGTTCGTACTCCTCCCGTCCCAATCTTCCCTTGTTTTTCTGGATGAATTCCCGGTTGTCTTTCTTGTATTGCTCGATTTTTTTGTTGGTGTTTATCACATCCAGATCATTACTCAAATTATAGATAATTGTTTCCACCTCCTCTAAGTAGTCATTGAACTCTCTTAGATTAGCAAAGTCCTCCTCTTTTTTGTTGAAGTCTCTTAACACTCTCCTGCGGATATCCACCTCCTTCTCAACAGAGGCGTCTTCAAAGAGCTGCACCCGGAAGTTGTTTCTTCTGAGCGGGATTTTGCAGTCAGGACAACTGCCTGATCCTGAAAGGAAGCTTTGATTCACGCACAACTATCTTCAAGTTTTACATCGTAAAAATCCCGATGTCTGGGGCCATGAGGCTTAGTACAAACTCACCTTTTAGAAAAAGCAACTCAACACAACTCTCGCACAGCCCGTGACCACAAACATTTACCAACATTTTTAAGGATGGATTTTGAAATTTTGTGGTTCTGCATCGTGGACATGCGAAATCATCCATGTTGCTACCAGTTTGAATCTCTTTAATAAACAGTTGAGAAATTTGCGGTCTTCGAGACGTTTGAGCTTAGTATGTAGTCTGTGCTTAATGCATAGTTAGATTAAAATTTGAATGAGGTTAAGCCATAGATCACAGATCATAGAGGTTACAGCCACAGATCACAGTCTGTGATCTGTGGGTTAAGTAACGGCACAGATCACAGAGGTACAGAGGTACTCTGTGATCTGTAAGTAAGAGCACGTATTCGATCCCCCACAGAATTCTGTGAAGTAAGAGTAACAAGCAGAGACAAGTCTCTAGTAACAAGCACAGAACATACCCCCAACATAGGGGGGATATTTTGTGGTAACAACAGAGACAACTCTACTTGTCTCCGGTAACAAGTGGCTGAAAGCAGACACAAGAGAGGAAGCTTCGTAATCTATGGGGGAGAGAGAGAAATTCTACATCGGCTCATAATTCGATTTTCCATGCATGCATGACGCCACGTGGCACCCTCTTGAGTGAATTGAACAGTTGATCAGATTTAAAATGCATGTAAGGCAGATTTTCAGATTTTTAAAACGCAATAGTTCAAACATGGAAAGCTGTATGAGCAGAGACAAGGGATAATAATTATTTATTGTCTCTGGTATGAGGATATGGTTTGCAGTGTTGTATAGTTCAATGCTTTCAAAATCATGTCTAAGCTTATTGCAAAGAAAAATACCCTGAAAGTATTTACAATTGTTCCTGATTGTCATTGCTTTGTTAACTTGCTCATTCGTAAAATCGGGTTAAACTCATGTGAATTTGTTTGGTAATTTTGTAAACAAACAACTGAATATTTTGCTTTTGGTAGTTCGTGAGTTTACATTTTAAATTATAATGTTTACGACTTTTAAGCGTGGGTTTCGGTTGCAGAAGTGATACAAAACGTTTTAAAACTTTGGAAATAAAGTTTTGAAAAATATTACAAGGAAGCTATAGGCGAATGCTACCCTACCTAATAAATTAATTTTTGCAACATTTCATTTTCAAGTTTAAAACCTGCTGCAGAATATTTTGCAATTATATCGAACATTTATTAAAATAATTGAATGCGACAAAAACTAGATAAGCTATATCAATAATAAAATTCAGACAGGAAATTAGCACCACAACCTGACACAGTGGAGAAAACCACTTGACGTCACGTAAATAGACGCTACATATAATACCTTCATAGAGAAAATAAAATATATTTTTTTACATAAATAAAATAAGAAAATAAGTTTATTAGGCCTACCTTGTATTACTTGTGTCATACTTCAGGGTGTTCTGTGAGCAAGTACATGACTGGTGTTTGAATTGACAGTTCGGGTAGAGTCTGGCAGAGAATTCGGGTCAGTTTAACCGTTTTCTCTAAGCCAAAGCATTTATTATTAAGTTTAACTATGTATAGTGCAAAGGATAAATTGGCCATGTAAGTAATTTATATATACATAAACATACGTATAAACAACCCATTTGTCCATTTGTAGCTATGTCTTGATGGATAATGCTTAAATCACTAGCGTTTTACAGCGTTGTCGAAAATGTGTATATACACACACTGTGTTTATAATAATACAAAGTTTCGCCAAAGTGGTAAAACATTAAGGATTTACCGTGAGTCTCGAGGGTCCGAACCCTACAGATTCAGGATAATTCTTAGTTGTTTTGAGTTTTTATGCCCAGGACTTGAAAGCTAAAGACCAGTACCTATAATATATCGATAATACGAAGATAAATAGCAGAGCCTCTTCGGTTTTTCAACAATAGTTTAGGGTATAATAATATGTATTCGAACACTGTTTGGCTTACACATTTTCTAACAATATAAATAGCATGAATATCAAAATAAACATACGCATTGCCGGTTATAGCTGCTTACTCGATGTTGGAATATAAAACAAATTGTTTGACTCGCTTAAAGCATTCGGTTCAACATTTATCATTAAATATTGCTCAAATTTTAAAAGCTGAGAAAGGCTTTTTGGAAAGTCCCTATACATCCTTAACCGGTGTAAATAAATTTCGACAAGCAACCATAAAATAGCCTACAAATAAGATTCCTCGATATTATTGATTTAGATATAGCGGCCGATTAATGTTACTTATAACCGTAATCCATTGAGCAATCAGGAAATAACGTTGAATTAAGAATGTTGTACATACCTACTCTTATTCCTAAGTTCAACGCCATACCAAACACATATCTAATTTACGTTCCAAAATACATCATACACCAGAAGTGTATGGTATGGACGATTTTTGTTTTCATTGAAATTTAAACGTCCGAAAACATTACGGAAATATCCCTATGTATCTATATATTATTTAATTTCTTAACGGTACATCAGAGTACATTTACAGCGAGTTTAATTAAAGTTTTCTTACCTTGTGATCTCGATATTTCAAAAACATAATTTTTTTGAGGAATTTTGACCATCAATAAGATTTGGCAGATTAGCCAGACATTTTTTCTTAATAATCGTTACGTTAGATCGTATCAATTCCTTTTTAATCATATGCTTACCCGGTACATATATATTACATATTTGATTAATAGCTGAATTAAAGCTGAATTTTGCAACATAAAATATAAAAAAAGATTTCCAATCCACTAACGTGGATCTTTTGGCTTTATTATAAGTTTTGTCAAATATTTCTGAATCACACTGTATTTATTTTGCCTGATTTTTGTTCGTTGAGCATATAGCATTTGCAACAACATGCATAAACGTAAAGTGTACAGAGTTTTATGCAAAAATAATTAAAGTAAAGTTAAAGTAAAAGAAGCAATATTCTCCTGACTCCACTGGGTGGAATAAATGTGATTTAGCTAGGACCAAACTAATCTTTTATTAGTGCAAATAAAACTAGAATAGTACCCAAAATCAGGCAAACTTTGCTAATTTTAATTTCAAGTGTACTCCATCGTCTTGTTTTTCTAGAGCTTGACCTAATAAGAAAATAGTGGTGAAATACACGCTTATGATGATTTTTATTAAAATTTACTTCTTTTTATCATTTAATAATAATTCAAAGATGGTATTAGAATTAATAGTTTTAATTTTCATTAGAAAAACGGTAGAGGTTGTCACCGATGAACTGGATAATACTTTCAAAAGGAAGTTAAATGGCATTAACAAGCGCCTTGAAGCTCTCACCAGCCAAAAAGTGGTAAGTTAAATTTTTTGATTTAAACTTGTTTTATTTTTTCCTACGTATTACGTATTTTATACGCTTTTTATGTCTATTTTCCCACTTGTTTAATTATTTTTATGTAATTTAAGCTCGAGATAATAAGATCCTCAATACTTGTTTAGTCCTTGCATTAAAATAATGTAGGTGAGTGCAGTTCCCCATATCTGTAAAATATAATAATTCAGACCCTTTATTATGCCCTGTAATAGTTCAGTGTTTGGCAAGTCCATATATTAATATTTTATCGCTCTTTTCACCAACCTTCAAATACGTTTTATTGTTTATTGTGTATAATCCACCAGCTACCAAATATAATCGTTGATGTAGGCATTGCAGTAGAAACATATCCTTCTAGAGGAAATGAATAAGAATGGCTTATTTATTGATTTAGGTTTGGTGGTATTTTACAGTTCGATCTACCTCAGACTGTAGTAAATGATTGTCATTGCAACATATCATGTTCACTATTCTCGCTGTTTTGCTAGCCTAAAATGTCTAAATTCAAGAGAATTCTAGCGTTATGCGATTATAAAAGTTACCTTTTCTTCCAGCTTGGTAGATAAATAAAATGTTATAAACGATTCAATGATTATCATAATCAGCCAGAAAATATCAACAGTCATTGCACCCGTATTGGATCTGTTGTGGTTCAATAAATAATGAGCATTCTCGATCACTCGCACCAAAGTGAACTCGAGAATAATGAGCAACTGAAAACTGTAGGTTTTGTTGATCATGTTGGTCACTTGGACCGTTTTAAAGTGCAACGTAGTTAATGCCTTTAGAGTATTTTCTGGAGCTTTTTCATTGAATGTTATTTTATTCATTGTTTTACCTGTTTTTTCGTCAATTTTACCTACAAAACATTTGGGATTATACTGATTGCTTTTCTACTTCCACTCATTCACCGCCCATGACAATGTTCATCGCAGATGCGTTCAAAATATCGAATCGTTGATGCGATAAAATTAAAAGCGAACACAAAGATGTAGAAACTTGCGTTAAAATTTCGTAGTTAAAAAAGTGCTCCAGAGTGTAGATCATACAATCGCCCGTTGATCCATTCCAAATACAACATAGTATATTGGTGCATATTATGCAGGTGATGGAGATGAAATGCTTCAGCGTTAGGAACGTTATAACAGCCCTAAAACGCTTAATATTTCAATCTTAAAGCATTATACCTTTCGTTAAATACCGATAGTTCAATGTTGCTTTGTATTTCTTCAAAATGTGATCGATTTCCATGTATAGATTCATGGTATTCGTCAGGAGTTCGCGAATAAAATAGCATGTTATTATCACAGTAAGTGACATCAATTGTTGGAAAATTTTCAAACTTAATCGAACTTTTTCAGAAGCATTTCCTAAAGTTCAATTTGGCTTATTATTAATAATACTAAATTAATTAATACTAAATGTTTCCAAATACAATTAAATAATGGGCAAAAGTTACCTTCATAGAATCTCCCCAAAACAACAATAGTCCCCACGTGAATTGCAGTTAGAAATATTAGGCAAATTGTATAAAACCATTTCAAGGGCTGTTTTTCATATTTCTTGTATTTGGAATTGAATTGTATTGGAAATACACAAAATATTTTGAAGCATTTTAGAAGCTTAGTTGTGCTGGATAAGGTTCTCATGTTCTTGTTGCTTTTTGATTTTTCGAGGGGAAATTCGAATAAAGCTTGAGCTATACTAAAACTTGGAAGCTTTATATTTCAATCGCATTACTCTGTTGTATTGAATTGTAATCAGAATTATGATCCAATTTAGTAAGTGTATTATGCTCTTTCTGTTATTATTTCTGGTAACTGTTCAGCTTTCTACCTCATGTTTAAATGTTCAATAGATAGATTAAGTATACGAGATTTTTAGTGGATTGTTAATATTTTACGTTTTTGTTTGCTATTTGTTGCATTTGTTTAGATTTAATCAGTTTTATTTCTAAAGCATTCTTTTTTTCAGGTACCGAATTTTTTCGACCAAAAAAATCGCGTATCAGTAGTTTTATCTAAATCTACAGATTGCAGTTCACCACAGATTGCAATAACACCGAAGAAATGCAAATCCCGAGTGCAAACTAGCACACCACATCGCACCAAAAATAATGAATTAATGAGTTTTTATCGGAATGATACGTTAGACTTCTCGCCTATTCCTAGCGCGAATTTCCAAAAATCCAAGACAAAAACCCAAAACGTGCTAATAGAGAAAATAAGAAATGACGGGAAAGAGCCCACTGCAGTTAATGCGACAAAATTAAAGAAGGGTGTGAATAAGACTTCTAAGCTTGCAAAAGATGTGGATGTAGTCCTAGTTAATTCATCTCATTTGGATTCATCTAACAGCGGAAATAGTTCACAAGGTAATATTTTTCGTATTCCTTAGTATCCTCTTGTTACTTCCATGATACAGTAACCGTTAAATTATCAATCATACATGTACATTTACTAGGCGATGCCCCTTTAAAGAACAGTTTATGTTTTCAGAAAATACATGTTTCAGTATTAATTATCAATATTATTTTAAGAAAATAGATTTATTCTAAGCATCAAATTTCTTCAATTTCTAGTACCCCATAGGAGCAAAACATCTAAAGGAGGTTCGGAAGATGTCGAAACTGACGACAAAAATAGATCCGCTCAAGAAGTGAACCAATATGCCAAAAGCCAAAGCAAACAGAAAAATACGGTGACAAGCGGAAATAATCTAATAGGTTTGAAGGTTGTTCTTGAAAAGATCAAAATTCCATCAAGTAAATATTCAGTACTGTTATTGTTAACATGTTTCGTAAATTTAAACCTGTGTTATAGACTCTATTGCTAACGGACAACGCCCAAAATTACGTGAAGACATTGGCCAACCCAAAAGCAAATTGGTAAGACCGGGACATCTTTTGCGCGATAAGAGCAAAACATCGAAAGAAAGTACGGAAGATATCGAAATTAATAACGAAAATAGAGCCCGTCAAGAAGTGAGACAATATGATGAGAAACCAAGAAGTAAAATTAGCCGATCCAGAAGCAAAAGCCTACAGAAAGATACGGAGGCAAGAAGAAATAATCAAAGTCATTTGAAGGTTTTCGAAAACATCCAGAGTTTATCAAGTAAATATTAAGCAATATTATTTTTAACATGTTTCATACATTTAAATATCTGTTTTAGACTCTACTGCTAACGAACAAGACCCAAAACTACGTGAAGACACTGCCCAACCCAAAAGCAAATTGAGAAGACCGGGATATCTTTTACGCGATAAGAGCAAAACATCAAAAGAAGACAAGGACAATGTCGAAATTAATAACAAAAATAGAGCCCCTCAAGAAGTGACACAATATGATGAGAAAACAAGAAGTAAAATTACCCGATCCAGAAGCAAAAGCATACAGAAAGATACGGAGACAAGAAGAAATATTCAAAGCCATTTGAAGGTTGATGAAAACATCCAAAGTTTATCAGGTAGATAGATATTCAGGAATCGTATTTTTAATAATGTGACCGTCCTGGTAATTGGTAAATGATGCCTATTTCGCTCTTTGCAGTCATCAGTCAATAGTGGCAAAAATAAAACACTATTTTTGTTGGTCCAAAGTTTCGGCTTTATTTAGGCCATGTTCAGGCTCAATAAAGTTAGTGCCATATTTGCTCCAAATGCAGAGAAAGAGTATACCGTTAGAGGTAGGTCTCTTTTTAGATATGGTGCAAATATGGCACTAACTTCATTGAACATTGCCCAAGAGAAATAGTGTTTTATTTTTGTCACCATCTATTGACCGATAAACCCAAATACTTGAATACGCATCATTCTGCAGTTATTTTTAATATCTTTCGTAAATTTAAATATGTGTTATAGATGTTAATCCTCAGGAGCTATCTGGAAAATCCGTTTGCAATGGAAGTGAGGAAGAGACACAAGGATCGGAATCACACAATGCAAATGACCAATCTAGAATAACCAGCACTAGTGTTGGTAAGTGCGGCTTACACACTGTAATTTATCTGTTATATATTAGATATCTCAGCAATTTTTAAAGATTTGATTCAGCTTTGACAACTCGAGGTCTTGCTGAGCAAAAAATCAGCATCAGTATAAAAATCCATTAGTTTATACGGTTGGTTATATTAATACAAATTTGAGTTTAGAACATTTGTTTTACGCGATGACTAGGATAAAAACTTTTTTATATTTCTGCAATTATGGTATTGCCCTATGCCAAAAAATTTCGTTTTTCCAGCTAATAACGACGAACGTTTAACGGTAGTAGAAGAGGAGAATGAAAGTACAAGATTGGACGTTTTGTTGGAAGAAATTCAACAAAGAAATATTATGAAGCAGTCAAGCCGAGAAGGCTCCAAGTTCTATGTTGTTGACAGAAATACTCAATCATCGGTAATTTCTAACAGACCAAGCAATAATGGTAAGTCTTTTCGGCTATATTTAAGCAGCTCAAAGAAGTTAGTGCCATATTTGAATCAAATGAACAGAAGGGGCAACATACAGGTAGAGGTAGGTGTATTTTTAGAAATGGTGCAAATATGGCACTAACTTCATTGAGCCCTGAAAATGGCTTAAATATAGCACAAACGTTGGCACAAGGAAATTAGTGTTTTACTTTTGCCACCATCTATCGACCGATAAATCCAAAGACCTAAATAGGCTTAATTTATCAGTTATTTTAACATCGTTCGTAAATTTAAATCTGAATCTATCTGTTGATCTGAAAATATCAACAACGCCAATATGTTCTGCCAAAAGTAGCTCAAATGCAACGAGTAACAATTATACCGTTTTTAGAGATGTTCATTATATTATATGGTAAACTATTTTCAGAACCCAGGGCACAATCATCAAATAGAAGGAACGAAACATCAACTGCGAACATTCCAGAAACTCACACAATAAATGGCCATTTAATAGGTCAAATTAACAGCCGGAAAGACGCTAGCAATCAGTCCATGAAAGCTACTGTTGATCTTGCTCATAATGTTACTATTCGGAAGAGAACATCCAATAAATCAAAGCAGATCAGTTTTTCAACTGAACCACCCGGCACAATTGCGGGTAAGTGCGCCTCACACACTGTTGTGACCGAAATTTGTCTCATGTATTAGATTTTTCCTCAATTTTTAAAGATTTGCTTCAGCTTTGGTAACTTGAAAATCAGCATCAGCATTAAACAATCCAGGAGTTTATAGATAAACTTATAAAAAAAACGTTTAAAAATAAAATTATAAAAAAATTAAAACAATTGCTTATCGTGGACTTTAAGCTAAAACTGATCAAGTCTAAAGTATCAATTTTTGGTAAATGCACTTTAAACTGAGCCAAAAATTATATCAGACTCCTTTTGGAAACTCCTTATTAAAAAAATTTTTAAGTGCACCTGTTTGTGTGGCCTTGAAGTGCTTCGTCAGTTTTTGAAGACAAATATATTATTTTTTTAAATTACTTGGTCAACATACACTCATACGACAATTTTGGCCTTCACGGTTGTCACTTTTAGCTTTAAACCAACGTTATGTGCTGACGCTATGAATGAAAAATCTTTCATATTTCTGCAATTATGGTATTCTTCTTTTGGGTCATAACTGAGCTCTAAAAATTTCGTTTTTCCAGCTAATAATCACGAAAGTTTATCGATAGCAGAAGAGGAGAAGGAACCTACAAGATTGAACGTTTTGTTGGAAGAAATTAAACAAAGAAATATTATGAAGCAGTTAAGCCGAGAAGGCTCAAAGATAAATGTTGTTAACGGAAATACTCAATCATCAGTAGTTTCTAACAGACGAAGCAACGTTGGTAAGTCTTCAGTTTTTATCACCTATATAGTTCTTAATGTGAATAAATCATATAAATTACTTTAAATAAAAAAATAAAAAGTTGCAGTTTTTTCTAGATAGACGATAATCAGATATGATTATTTATATATTATCTACACTTGGTTTGAATTTTTAAATAATTGAACACCCTATACATATAATGCATGCTCAGTTGATCACTGTTTGTATACATTTGGAATGGAACTGTTTTAGCGAAACATTCGACACAACTGTTTATGGAGTCACACTCGCCAGTAAAAGTTCAAAAAGAGCGTAATAAGGACCATAACAATCCGTATCTTCAAACAAGTACGAGTTCTTTGTCCCATGTTTCTTTACGCAACGTTGGTAAGTTATATTTTTATACACGTATCTATAAATAATTTATATCTAAATGGTCAACTTTTCAGAATCGTGTGAGCCATCGAAGAAAAACAAGAGGGTGACTAAAAGATCTGTCAAGCTACAAACAAATAACTCTGGTTTTCAAAATCCTGAGGAAATTCAAGATGAGAATGTAGTTGAAATTGCGAGCGTGAATTCCGGTGCGAACGAGTCGCTACGTAACTATGCACCTGGGCATACCTTCATCTTCACTGCAGAAGATAGATTGAGAAAAGAGCAACGATGGAATGAAGTTATCCGCATTTGTACGGAAATTGCAATAAATGCTGATGATGAATTCGGTACGTACTAAATTTTTAACATAACAACATACATAAATGTTAATTAATGTCTGTGGTCGTTTCAGAAGTCAACTCAGGCTCGGATAGCACTAAAGAGTATAATAAGCGACGTCGTTCCAAAATTCAGAAAAAAAGTGAACAGAACTCAGTTTTAACCTTCAAAAATTTGCCTGAAAAGCAAATTAAAATAAAGAAACAGGAAAGTATAAGCGAACGCCAGAAGAAAACTCAAACACCCAATCGAGTTAGTAGGTATGCTTCGATTTAAAATATTTATGATTGTGTACACTCTAAATACATATAACTTTTGAATAGCTCAACAGCGGATCAGCCCACCTGCAGCGGTTTCGATGTCAATAACTGGCCAAATATTTTTGAATCCCCGCTACCGGAAGATCCGTTGAATTTTCATATGGAAACTTCGAATATGTATTACTTTAACAACCAAAACGCACCGTGGCGATATTCCGGAAGAGCATCTCAGGTTCAAGACCCAATCAAACTGAATTTTATTCGATCTGCTACCGAAATTAGTGCCGCTCAAGCGGATAGTAACGGCATGGATTCTGAGGTGAACCTTTCAGCGGATAACCTGACGATGGATGCTGTAGCAAAACGAAGAACCATTTCGCCTGCGGAGGACAGCAGTCGAAGCCAGAATAGTAGTGAACAAGTCAATCCTGCTTCTGTCGACCAAGAGGAGGCCTCATTGGGCGAAGCCGATGTTTCTGTTACTTTCGATGGAAACCCTTCTCTAGTGACGTCGAAAACCAGTTATGAAGATAAGCGCCTAGCAAATAACATTACATCCGCAAGAAATAGCAGTCCACCATCCGTTACTTCCAGTCAGTCAGAATCAGAATTGTTGGAACAACCCGGGACAAATATCAATTGCGAGACAAATGGTAAATTTACCAAAATTGCTCCGATCCTTTGAACACCTAAACTAGAAAAACTAAATAAATGCTCGATATTTTACCATTTTGAAAAACATGTCTGGGCTCATTATCTCTCATACCTCTGTTATTTTTCGTTAGTTAATATGGCGTTGATAATTTGTTTTCATCTAGATACAGACGATGGAAGGCATAAGAAGGCAAATAAGTCAAATACTTCCGGTCTGATGGCAGAATGGCAGTCGCATGAAAACATATTACCAGGTTAGTATTGGAATTTTGTTATATACATTCAAGAACATGCTGCCTATACTGTATACATCCTCTAGTCTAGAAATTCTCTTGAGTCTCTTCAGTCTAGAAATATGCATCTAAATAATTCTAGGTTGTTGTGTCAGTAACAGGCCAATATATGCTGTCGAAACTGGCTCCGCGCAAGCGGATGCTAACAACATGGATTCTGAGGGGAACTCTTCAGGGGATAACCATCTGACGATGGATGCTGTGGGGTTGACCACAAATCAGAGTAAAAAGGGAAAGAGTTCCAACATGTATGGTAGAAAAAGAAAAACCATTTCACCTGCGAAGGACCGCAGTCGAAGGCGGAATAGTCGTGAACAGGTCAATCCTGCTTCTCTCGATCAAGAGGAGCCTTCCTCGGGCGAACCCGATGTTTCTGATACGTCCGATGAAAACGCTTCTCTAGTGAAGTCGAAAACCAGTTGTGAAGATAATCGTCCAGCAGATGTTCACGAACCTATCACCCAACTAAGTGATAACATGACAGCACCCGCAATAAATAGCAGTCCACCACCCGCTAGTCCCAGTCAGCCAAAACCAGTTTCTTATGAACAATCCAGAACAAATACCAATTGCGAGACAAATCGTAAGTTTACCAACATTTCTCCGGTACTTTGAACACCTAAACTACAAAAACTAAATAAATACTCGATGTCTTGTTTTTCTTTAAATAATAGGTCATTGATAATTTGTTTTCTTCTAGATGCAAATCGTGCAAAGCCTAAGAAGCCACCGTGCGGTCTGTCCTATGAAAACATACTACCAGGTTAGTATTGGTAGTTTTTTTTATTTGCTTAGTCAAGAATATGCTGCTTATACTGTATACATCCTCTAGTGTGGAAATGCCCATCTAAATAATTCTAG